TGACTCTGTAAACTGCTTAGAGAGGGCTGAAAGCCCTATGAAGCGGTATATAAGTCTAACTGCTATTGCTAAGATGAACAAGTGGCACCCTTCCTATTCTCTGGCATAACATTAGCATCCAGTGGATGCCATAAGTATGATAACATCACACAGTAGATGTGAATGATGTAATATCTGCATATAGATTGTGATGATGTCTTGATGCACAAGTGACACTGTGGCTTCTGCTGCATATTATGTAATTCACATTGTTTCCATAATGCTGCTATGATGCTTATGATGTCACTTAACTTTCTCCATAGGTGTCTCATGTCTATGTATCCTGGGGGGCATTTTCTGTATAGCATCATGGTATGAATTGCCCCATGTAAACCCATTCTGGAAAGCAGGGGTGAGGAACGTCTATATGAGCCTTCCAGAAAATCCCCCTGGGATATTCCTTTTGCACATGATACGGAGCAAGTATCACCTAGATGGCACTTTTAGACCCACAGAACTCTCAGGAAAAGAAAAGGAACAACCTAGTTGGCATTTAATGTTTGCATACAGCAGAAATGAAGTAAGTTAAACTGTTGATTGAGAAACACTCAACACAATTGGGTATCCTTTTGACTTCAATTTGAACCCACTTCATCTGCCATCAGGATTCCTTTGCGTCTCCATTAAAAACAGGTCACAGGAAGGCAAAGGAGAGCCTCACTTCTGAGAGCTGCCAATGAATGAGAAATACATGAGAGGTTGGTCTTGTCTAGGTTGGAACATGTAGTGGTCATTTACAGTTTCTAGAGCACACTCTGGGTGACAAAATTGGATCTGAATTAGAATTTAGTTGCCTTTCAATAGCCCTACACCGAAGAAAATACAATTTGGCTTGTAGCCATTCTCTGGAGCCAAAAATTGCATCCCATCACATGTGCGAGCTTTAAATACCATACTAACATAAGAAGCCAGTGTGCCCCCTCTGCTCAAATTTCACACTATTACAATGATCAACAGCTTTCACTTTGCCTGCTTTCTGAAGAAGTTTGGTGAAGCCTAGACTTCGTTCATTGGTCATACACTTGTGAAGATCCACCTCTGGCTATTACTTGACCTTCACTTTGATAGAAAGTGTGAGCTTTCAGAGAGCAACATGGAAGTTCAACAGAATTTGCAAACTTTTAAAGTACTCTCAAACATGAACAGTATAGAAACTGAATTATAAGGAGACCATAATGAGCAGCAAAATCTCCCTCTATCTTCCGTTCTCAAGCCTCATTACAATTTAATAAAAGGACGTTGCCTCTTTTCAAGATTGATTTTTGTGAAAGTTCTTTTGCTTCTATCAGTGCTGTTGACATTTTATCCAAGGATTAATATGTGCTTTTTTGCTTATTTTAAATTTAATAAGAATTCAGGTGTCAACTGCATGGCTACAAGAAAGAGTGGATAATTCCAATTTGGTTTCAAGATAGCAACTGTGACTATGCAATTGAAGCCTTGTCCTTTTGTAAATACATCACATAAAAATGTAAAAAGGACAAGCCTCTACTTCCATGATGTCAACCATTTTTTCTTAGTGCCTTATGGACACTCTTGCAAGAACTTTAGATTCGGGTGCATAGCTAGTTGATGACCTGATATAGGGATTCACCTTGAATAGGGCCTAGGGTAATCACCTTGTTTAGCTCTGAGAGAACTTCTGCTTTGAAAAGCAGAGGCAAACAATCAGCTATTTTCAGTCCTGCCTTGTGACAAGCGGACCTTTTGGACTGTTGTTACATAAAAGATCAGTTGGGCAAGTGATAAGTAGGTTAAAGGGTTGTCCTGCTATATTAATTTTCCTACAATCCAAAGACTCTCCAATATGGAGGAATAGGCAAATTTGCACTGCTCCTTTGTTCTGAAGACAGTTGAAAATAGGTTGGATGGTTTTGTTGTTTTGTTTTGGTGTCTGGTTGTAAAACAGCCTCTGGTTGTAAGACAGCTTCATTCATCTCATCTCCAATCTGTAACGTCGTCTTCTGGTAATTAGTTACGAGGGAAAATATGCTTGGAAAATATGTCACTGATAACAAAGGTATCTGATCTGGTATTCTTTCCATTATTTCTCCAGTGCTGGCCTTTACAGAGACAGAGATTTATTTGATCAACAATCAGAGCAGTAGGAAAATACCACTAATCAGGCTCCCTTCGTTGGCTCTCCCTCTTGCATATCAGGTGTCCCGGCTCGCGCGCGCTTCCTCGGGCTTCCGACTCAGTCCCTCAATGTGGACGGATGTGTCATCATGCTTCTCTTCAGTAATGTTTGAAATTTATTCTTTATCGCATTTGTGAGTAATCTGACTATCTCGCAGGTTGCTCTGGCTACAGCAGTGGCAAGCCGACGTACGCCATAAATGGGGTCTGGCGTTAGCGCCTTTTACGGGGGGGGGGGGTTGTCACTTTTTGCTCTTGACCCCTTCTTGATCGAAAATAAGGACAAACAGAAGATGCTTCCCACCGCTCCAAGAAAGGGCAATTTCCAGCCTGCGCCTTACCACCGACATTCTACCTTTCGTGGTCAAGACTATGGGTCTTCCTTCCGGGGTCAGGACTATGGGTCTTCCTTTAGAGGGGTCTGATTTCGGGTATTCAGGTTTCAGGACAAAAATACCAGCCAGATCGACAGCAGAGGGGCAGGCAGCAAAAGCGTCCCTGTTGAGGGGGCGGAGGCAGCGGCAGTGGGTGCTCCGACCGCAGAAACTAGACATAGGCCCAGCTCTCCCCCCTTCGGGGGATGCCTGGCATATTTTGCCAATCGATGTGTGGGTTCAGTCCACTATTAGGTCAGGACTTTCCATCAAATTCCTCTTCAGCCCCCCGAGCTTTTTCCGGATCTGTTCCTCATGCTGGAGGCCAAGAGACTGGGGCTTTGGGCCCAAGAAAGCGGCATGGGGTGGTAGAGGCCACGAAGCCCCAGGGGTGTTCAAGGAGGCTCCTCGGGAGGAGTGGCGGCTGGCCACCATCCAGCTGGCCCGTTGGCCTAGGGGAAGCCGGCAGAAAAATGCCCAAAGAGGATCAGGACGCAAATGGATCGTCGTAGTTGCGAGCTGCTCACCTCAGGCCGCCAACGAGAGATGGCAGGGAGGCTGCGAGGGGCGGTCGGAAAGGGCCGCCTGCAACACCTCCGCTAACTCTGGAGGCTGCCTGGGAGGGTGACCGTTGCCTGAAGCCTTTGATGCTGCAGCCTCCGAGACGCGCAACGCGCCGACTTTGGCGAGAGCCGCAGCTTCATGGAGAGGCCACGCAGTGGGGAATGTGGGCAATGCTATTAAACCAGGAACCACGGCTGAGCTCCAGGGATGGCTGGGCTCACGGGCTATGGCAACCCATGCGGAAGCCGGGCTTGGGCAGCGGGACTTGGCTTCACAGCAGCCAGAAAGGCAGCCCAAACGCCCCGCTGGTCAGCTTTTTGCGTCCTCCTGTCCTGTGTTGTCGTAGCTGGCGTCCCTTTCTCTCCCTGCGTTGCTCCACCTAGAAAACCTTGTCTGAACAAACCACAGCTTAAGCGGGACTCTGACCCGTTGCAACGTGCTTGCTTTCCTCCAGCTGAGCCGAAGAACTTGCGCACCAGCCAGATGTGGAGCCACACAAACTCAGAAGCTCACGAGACCTTGGATGTAAAATGAATTATGCTAAAAAATGTGTGTAAAACCTTAAATGGCCAGAAAAAATAAGAAAACTCACTGGAGAACTCAGACCAGGGAACAGGAGAGAAGAGAGTAATGGAGGGTTCAATGGAAGAACAAGAATATGGAGGAAAAAGGAACTGAAAATGCAAAACGGACAGGATTTCACTGGAGTAAAATAGACTAATAGATGAAATAGGGAATGATAATTTGGACTAACTTTGAAGGGGCAATTAATGATATTGTAGATGTTTTAAAAAGGAAATAAGTGTAAAATGGAAAATATGGAAAGAATAATAGAGCTGAAATTGGAACAGAATTATGATGTAAAATGGATTATGTACATGGGAAGGTGTAAAAGGAAAACAAACACAGGACAATATACTTGGTTCATAAATTTGTATGTGTAACAAAAAAATAAAATATTTTGATATGGAAAAAAAAACACGGAAGCTCCCGCGACCGCGGAGGGGCGTCTCTCCATTTTCTTGTCTCTAGTCTTTGGGGCGGCAGTCAGCAGATCATAGAGAAGAAGGTCGGTGATAGCTCGATGGGGACGGCTGCCTATACCAGAAGT